ACCACAAAGCGGCCATCTTGGATTTTCAAAATGGCTGCCTTGAAAATTGGTGTTTCTCAATATCTCAGCATGCAGGTTTCCTAGAGTAATGCTTTTAACGGCTAAACATACATTTTCAGGGGTAAGGAAGCCAATGGTATAAAGTAAACTCAGCTAAACATAACCACAAAGCAGATTTTCATGTTCATTCCATTATAATACATTTTTTAAATGGCTCAAAACTTCTACATGTAGCAAGTCAAACCTTTAGCATGTCTAGGCAGCTTCTCATTAGAGACACACTCTCGGAAAAAATGGTTCGGATAACATTGTTAACTTATTTCTTATGATGGGACTGCGGTTTGGCCGAAGTCAATTGAGCGTGATCGGCTGACTGATAAGGTTTACGTACAAAACCCCAAGACAACGAGGTTTTTGTATAGAAAGCTGCTGGACCACATTTTGCGAGAGTGTGTCCGTAATGCTTGAAGCCTGCCGGTAATGCTGAGCCTGCATACTGCCAAAGTTACCAGTGGCATCCCTACATGATTTTCTCGTGCAAATAGGACCCATTTTGGGCCCTAATTGTATCAAATCTGCTCTTAGATAATAGCCCAAAAGCTAGGGAGATGATCCTCGGCTATATTCGCACGATTCCACCGATTTTTAAACTAGACGGTCTCGTTTTTTGCAAAAAATTGTGGGGGCACTTTTTATGCAAATTAACGACGCGGACGCGTAGAAATTTTGAAACCCTCATCAAATTTATTGCGCCCGCTGTTGGTCTTATTGCGCCATTCTGATATATCTTCTGTTTAGCCCACCCCCCCCCCCCCCACCACAGCCACCCCCCCCCACCACCACCACACTGAAAAATAATGGTAATTAAATACTGTTAAAAATGTGCTCGTTTATTCAGAAATTCATGAAGCATATTCAAACTGATTGGATGTTTCCAAAGTGTCTTTCCCATTTGCAAAAGTTCTTTTTAAAAGCCCATCAACCATTAGAGACACACTCTCCGAAAAAATGGTTCGGATAACATTGTTAACTTATTTCTCATGATGGGACTGCGGTTTGGCCGAAGTCAATTGAGCGTGATCGGCTGACTGATAAGGTTTACGTACAAAACCCCAAGACAACGAGGTTTTTGTATAGAAAGCTGCTGGACCACATTTTGCGAGAGTGTGTCCGTAATGCTTGGACAACTTCCATATCATGATAGCATGCCAAAATAAGTGTGGTATAACAAAATCTTTGTTATATAGCAGAATCTTTACACATCATCATCATCACTGTCACTGGTCGGCAACATGTCACTCCTAGAGTCCTCATCATTCTAGCACTGGGTGCTGCACTGGCAGAGGTCTGTGCATGATAAGTTCTTGGACCTGCAAGAGCATCGAGATGTTGAACAGTCTGCTCTGCACTGGCATCTCACCATCTCAATGATGGCCTTGGGGGCTGGGAGGACCTTAGTTGTGATTGGCTTCACCTGATCAGCTGCTGTGTCCTTGTAGAAGCCATACTGCAGCCGATCCAGGAACTGCTGCTGAGCAATGCTTGCCTGGCCCCATACTGTGGCCTGGATCTGGACTCGGTGGATGTGCTGCTTGAGAGCACCAAGGGACCGGAGGCAGCTTGTCACTTTCAGCCATATGCTTGCAGAAAAGATGCCATCGCAGCTCAGGGGTGCTCGCAATCTGGATGCCCTTTGGCGCGTATGCAGCACAGACGAATGTAGCCAGCGTTGACAGCAGCTCTTCAGTGACTTCAGCGGCATCTGAAAGCATCTGCAGAGCATTGATGACTACTCCGCCTGCTTTGAGGTAGACTTTCAGCCAGCTTGCCTTTAATTCCTATGCGAGAGAACCTCCCAGTGTTGTCTGCCCCCGTGAATGCATGGAAGGCTGGCAAAGCCTTTGCTCTTTCTGGACCTAGATCTGTCCATATTGGCTGCACTTGGACCACTCCGGAAGCCATTGACATGGACGTGTTTCTCAGCAGAAGGTCATAATGTGCTACGACCAGCACCAGAACATCAGTGTCTGGGGAGAAGACAACCAACTCTGCATCAGGTGGGTTCCTCTGTGATGCCAGCAGTGCATGATAGATTAGCAGCGTGTCCGCCTCTTCGTGATTGTTGTCCTCGATTAGCAGCTCGCTATTGCTCCTAGTACGTCCTGCGGCAGATGCGACACCAGTGAAGAAACACAACGACAAGATGTTCATGTCTGGCAACAAGAAAACCAGTGTGAAACTCAGAGACAATACTGTAGATCTGAAGGAGACCAAGGATCTGTACGGAAGGCTAATGGTCCTTGCCAGGTCAAACCGAAACATCGACCAGAAAAAAGCCATCGGCAACTATGAGTTCACGTTGACACCAAGGGCACTGTTTGCTGCAAACGGGGCAATGCTACCATGTACTGACAAGGCAAAGTTGATCCACCTCCTTGAGAAGCTCGGAACAGCAGAACCACCCAATGAAGATCAGCAGCAGCAGCTGCACGATGCAAGTGTTCTGCAGCGCGATGCAGTGGATCCAGAAACAATAGACTGCACACCCACTGAAGATCCTCATCAAAGTCGAAAAATTGCACTGGTGGACGGTATGGTGGTCGTGCAGAAGCTAACAAAGAAACCAGCCACGGTAGTGACAGTCAAAGACCTCAGTGAATGCTTCAATACCAGACTGATGTCTCTCACAAGAGACTGTGATGAGATCATTCTGGTGTTTGTTACATACAAGGCTGATTCCCTGAAGAGTACCACAAGGGAGAAACGGAGACAAGGGAAGGATCTGATCCAATATCAGATCAGAGATGACACCAGCATCAAGCACATCCCAATGAGCCGGTTCCTTTCCCACGACAAAACGAAGGCTGATCTGACTGAGTATCTGGCAGCAAAAACCCTGGAGTACAACCAAGACTCGTCAAAGCTGGTTATCGCATCTGCCGCAGGACGTACTAGGAGCAATAGCGAGCTGCTAATCGAGGAACAATCACGAAGAGGCGGACACGCTGCTAATCTATCATGCAGTGCTGGCATCACAGAGGAACCCACCTGATGCAGAGTTGGTTGTCTTCTCCCCAGACACTGATGTTCTGGTGCTGGTCGTAGCACATTATGACCTTCTGCTGAGAAACACGTCCATGTCAATGGCTTCCGGAGTGGTCCAAGTGCAGCCAATATGGACAGATCTAGTTCCAGAAGGAGCAAAGCCTTTGCCAGCCTTCCACGCATTCACGGGGGCAGACAACACTGGGAGGTTCTCTCGCATAGGAAAGGCAACCTGGCTGAAAGTCTACCTCAAAGCAGGCGGAGTAGTCATCAATGCTCTGCAAATGCTTTCAGATGCCGCTGAAGTCACTGAAGAGCTGCTGTCAACGCTGGCTACATTCGTCTGTGCTGCATACGTGCCAAAGGGCATCCAGATTGCGAGCATCCCTGAGCTGCGATGGCATCTTTTCTGCAAGCATATGGCTGAAAGTGACAAGCTGCCTCCCACCCTTGGTGCTCTCAAGCAGCACATCCACCGAGTCCAGATCCAGGCCACAGTATGGGGCCAGGCAAGCATTGCTCAGCAGCAGTCCCTGGATCCGCTGCAGCATGGCTTCTACAAGGACACAGCAGCTGATCAGGTGAAGCCAATCACAAATAAGGTCCTCCTAGCCCCCAAGGCCATCATTGAGATGGTGAGATGCCAGTGCAGAGCAGACTGTTCAACATCTCGATGCTCTTGCAGGTCCAAGAACTTATCATGCACAGACCTCTGCCAGTGCAGCACCCAGTGCCAGAATGATAAGGACTCTAGGAATGACATGTTGCCGACCAGTGACAGTGATGATGATGATGTGTAAAGATTCTGCTATATAACAAAGATTTTGTTATACCACACTTATTTTGGCATGCTATCATGATATGGAAGTTGTCCAAGCATTACGGACACACTCTCGCAAAATGTGGTCCAGCAGCTTTCTATACAAAAACCTCGTTGTCTTGAGGTTTTGTACGTAAACCTTATCAGTCAGCCGATCACGCTCAATTGACTTCGGCCAAACCGCAGTCCCATCATAAGAAATAAGTTAACAATGTTATCCGAACCATTTTTTCCGAGAGTGTGTCTCTAATGAGAAGCTGCCTAGACATGCTAGAGGTTTGACTTGCTACATGTAGAAGTTTTGAGCCATTTAAAAAATGTATTATAATGGAATGAACATGAAAATCTGCTTTGTGGTTATGTTTAGCTGAGTTTACTTTATACCATTGGCTTCCTTACCCCTGAAAATGTATGTTTAGCCGTTAAAAGCATTACTCTAGGAAACCTGCATGCTGAGATATTGAGAAACACCACTTTTCAAGGCAGCCATTTTGAAAATCCAAGATGGCCGCTTGGTGGTTATGTTTAGCTTATTTTACTTGTACCACTGGCTTCCTCACCCCTGAAAATGTATGTTTAGCCGTTAAAATCATGACTCTGGGTCACCTTGATGCCGAGATACTGAGAAACACCCATTTTGAAGGTGGCCATTTTGAAAATCCAAGATGGCCGCTTTGTGGTTATGTTTAGCTTATTTTACTTTGTACCACTGGCTTCCTCACCCCTGAAAATGTATGTTTAGCCGTTAAAATCATGACTCTAGGCCACCTGGATGCTGAGATATTGAGAAACACCCATTTTGAAGGCGGCCATTTTGAAAATCCAAGATGGCCGCCATGCATGCTTCCGGCAAATTGTAAACATTGGTTTTCTGATTGCCTATACCACACAGATTCCAAAAATGTATAGGTTTGCAAATCCCCCAAAAAAGTTAACGAAATTACACAGTGAACTTACAGTGCACAAACTTGGATGCGCCCAGCAGGCATCACTTTGTAGATGAGTCAGCGCTCTTGTAATTTAATATAGCTCTATGGTCTGTCCAGACGATACATTTGAAACTGTAGAGTTGATATTTGTGCACATGGGTCCTCTTGATAGATGTAATTGTTGGTTTTGCTTATTTTGTCTTCAGGAGAAGCCTGTTTATATTCCTGACAAACCAAGAGAATGGAAAACAAGAGAACCACCTGAGTTTGTGCGAGATGTGATGGGTAGGTTCTTTTAATGTGCATGTTTGAGTTGGCGTATAGCTGTAGAGAGAGTCAGGTTGTTAACTTCAGGCTAAATATCTTTGAAAACATCTTACCTGGTGTTGAAGTAGTTTTTACCTTTGTTTTATCAAGTACTACATATCTATTCTAGGGTAAAACATTTTGTAAATTCAGGAATATCACCAGATTAACCCTAACGTACCTGAATCCATCAAAATCCACACCCCTGTTTTGGTAGGATTTCAGAGGACTCAGGATACCTCCATATTGAAAAAGTTGGGGGATTTTGATGGATTCAGGACAGGAAGCATAACGGCACTGCAAGATTTGGATGGATTCAGGATACTTCCATATTGAGCAGTTGGGGGACTTTGATGGATTCAGGATCTCAACAGATTTACTCCCGGCTAACTGGTGGATTCTGATGGACTCACTGGCCACCAAATTTTTTTGCATGGCAAAATTGATGGATTTTTGCGGATTCAGGATACTTTCTAGTAAAAATACCCAAGGGGTTAGAGTTAAACGAAACTAGAAGTTGAAGTTTGATTGAGATTCTACGTCAGTATGTAGTCATTATGAAAACGAAGGGATCATGTTAGATTAATAACAAGTACCAAGTAAGTGGTACAACCCACGGCGGTACCACGAACGGGACAACCGCATATTTTGCCATGCAATGGGGCGTGATCGCAGGATTGGGTTTAAACATTTTCATGAAGGAGTGGTTTGGAAGAGAGAAGTACATTTTCCACCCATTTTGTATTGAAATTCAACTTTAAGGAGGAAGTTGAACAGAGCACAAAAAAATAAAAGAAACTGCCAGTTGTAAACATGGTAAAGGAGACAATACGATGAACCTTCTGGTTTTATCCATAGCCGTCTTCTAATGAGTTATACCCGTGAAAAAAATCTGTGAAAATCTGTTCAAATGAGCACCAAAAATCTTTGAATTTCGCGGGTTGTGCGTTGTTCGCCGATGAGGGCGCAGTTTATGGTAACTACAGTAACATAGATGATGACGTGTAAGAGTGGACGTTTCTGCCCCTAGCTATGCGGCGACAGTTGCCTAGCGCAGGCACAGTGTAAAAAAAAACAAGTTCAGAGTTCATGTGTCATGTCAATTATCGATCTTAAACAAACCACACGTAAGTTTCAGCCCCATAGACCGTGCGTGCATTAAGTTTGTCTTCTCACGCATGCACAATGGTTTCCTCCGCGTCGTCGGCTTGCAAAGAGCGGTAGCAGACGACGCACTGAACGATTGTCTGGTTTTCATGTCTTAAAATGTATCCTTCTCAAACGTACTTAAACGATGATTCAAACCAAAAATTATCAGTAGACCAAGTGAACAAAGATATAAATTGTCTCTAAAGTGTGGTAACGGCGCTAAAAACCTTTTCAAATATATAAAAAAAACACAATAATTATGGACAAAAAAACGTACAAAATGAAAAGGAAAAACATCGTTCGCTTTTGAGTTTGGTTTACACATTTGGACAATTTTCCGGGTTTACCTCAGATCAGCCGTAGTACCATCGGAAAGGATGATAGATTATTTTCATTTTACAGGTGATTTGATGTAAGAAGGAAACCTGTAGCTTATAAAAATCGTCATTTTTCGAGTAAACCAATTTTGAAAGCTTCGGGCACAAATACACTGGTCCCAGTGCCCTCTATGATCGTACTTAACTGCATTTCGTAAACTTTTCAAGTTTCCTAAGAGTCCTAGAAGGTGCAAAAATGGGTTAATTTTGTGAAGAATACAAGGAGTGATTTTGTTAAACCGTTATTAAAACCGAAGTGGTCGTTCCTCTGTAGTGTGCACTTCACTACGGGTTGTTGTGATGCGACATCAGCCATGAACTTATGAAGGCCAAACTTGGCCTGAAGATAAATGTCAGACTATACAAAGATGCAGTGCCTAGTGTGAAGCATCAGCGGGCTGAAAAGCCAGCAGTCACAACTGAGACGGCCAGCGTTTCAGAAGCGGGAGAAACTCAGAGTAAGTAACGTGTACCACTACCGGCGTAGGCTAGCCTATGTTGGGAAAATTGGCTAGGGCCCAGTACATGTATACACAATGGTTATCGTTAGTGAAGTTCTTCAATTGTTCTTTTGTCGTCCATATCAAATTTAACTTTGGAAATAATAAATATCCACAAACATATTCGGCAATGCCCTGTACTTTGCTAATGCTTGTTTGTACCGTAAATTTTAGTATTAGTTACATTTCATGTGAGAAAAGTATGTTCCGACGGCAACAATAATGATGTCTGGAAATTGGGCACAACATACTGGAGCGTGTGTAATGAGTAAGGATAGGCTAGGATTCTTCAGTGTGCCCGCATTTTGACGTTACAATCCTTTCCATTGGCAGTGGGGAACATTAAAAGTTCAAATAAAAGCAAAGTAAAATTTGCAGTATTGTCTGCGATATTGATTGTTTTCTGGCCAAAAAAAGGAAATATTGTTGTGGGCTATTTGCCGACAACATTGTTTAAATTGTTTATTTAAATTTGATTGTGATGCTTTTAAAACTACTACAAAAGACCCGCATACAAAGGTTTAAAATCACATTATTTTTCTACCTACCTACCTGATTTTTAAGGCATTACCGTGGCTGTATCGGATCATATGGACTCAACATGTACAATTTCATGTGCAGTCAAGAAGTTGTTCTGGCCATCGTATCAACGAGTAGGTCAATTAGGCTTCAAAACTTCAAATGTATCAATAGTTTACTCTATTTTTTCACATTTGTGACTAGACATACAATGAATTTCTTTTCAGATTTGTAGGATTTATTCTCTGACAATATATCCTTGTTTAGATATATTGATGTTCTGCTGTGTCACAATTAAGTGGTACATTTTTAAATCTTCTCAATTTGAAGGATGCAGCAACGCAGACAGTGCGACGATGGCGATGTGGCATTGACTTGAATGTTCATAAAGTTAATATTTGGCCATCAGAGTCCCTTTCCTCGACATGTAGAAAGAAGCATATCCAGACGGACATGAAGATGTTTCATCCAGTAAGCATTGGTAAGATTGGAACAAAGTGAAATTATCTGTTATTTTGGACATGAAGTGTAACGAATGTGCTAAATGTTTTACAAACAAGATTGATTGAAATTTAAAGAGTCGTCGCTGCGCTGTAATATCTATTTGTTCTTGTTATATTAAAGGCCTTCAGTTCCACCATGTGTTTGAGAATGAAAAAGCCATTGCATGTAACCTCCTCAAAGCCCCCAAGCTGGAATGGCTGCCTAACCCAGAAGAAGACATGGTGATGGAACTGGAGCTGCAGGAAGAGGAGGAGCAGGATGAGGAGATAGAGGAGGAAGATCTTAAATCTGATGTCGACTATGTACCCTCATCTGATTCAGATGACAGTCCCTGGTAATGTCTCAGTCTTCATATCCATTCCCAAAAATATGGAACAAACAATGTAAATACTGTCAAAAAGCTTATTTTACTCAAAGCAGTTTAACCCACAGCTCCATGTATCTTCGTTTCCTTTATAGGTAATTTTTTTTATATTTCTGCATTTTCGCCATATATTAAAGGGAGATGGACTCAACAGTAGAAACAACAGATGTTGTTGATGAGCGAAAGTTCTTAATCTTCTGAATCACAGCTTCTGGAGTTACTTAAAAGTTGTCCTGGGTGTGCTTCCCCTACAACAGTTACAACCCCTACAACTTCATCAGCCGAATGGTGGCACTATGGTAGAGGCTAGGCAGACATGTAGAAAGAGAGGATGCTGCTGTCACTTTTTAAAAGTGGCAAAAGAGTTATGATGTATAAACTATAACAGTTTAGACATAACCAATATGAAACTAGAAATGTGTTTGTGGACAAACACCAAGCTGATTCGATTGTTTTAGCAACAACTGCCATGAAGGAGTTTCAGCCAAGTCGAATGTACATGTACATAAGTATTCTACAGATGGTGGTGTAAGTGTCAATTTGATGTAAAAAAAAAAAAAAAAAAAAAAAAGTGGAGTGTTGAACGAAAACATGTGTCATCCTATGGAAAACAGAGTGCATGTAGTGAAATTTAGTGCGACATACATGTAGCCTGGTTAGGAGACTAGCAGAATTTAGGGAATTAATGACGTCATTTATTGAAAATGATGGCTCTTGGTTTGTGCCTACTTTGAAGTCGATCTGACCGTATTTTATTTAATTTTCTTTGCAATTACAAGAAAATATGAAAATGTTTCGAATTAATAAACAATCAGTTAATGACGTCATAATGACGTCACTTTAGATTTTGAATACCATTATCAGTACCTACATACCCACCAAGTTTCATAATGATCGGACATACATGTACCCTTATATATGAATAAAAAAAACATGTTTTTGATGACATCATGGTGACGTCACACAATTCTCAAAATTTTCTGTATCTATCTATAACCTGAAAAACCTATAACAAGAAGAATTTCGAATTCACCTCGTTCCGTTGATGAGATATGAGTAAAAGGTCCAAAAAATGAATAATTCATATAAAATCACCTGATGACGTCATCGCGATGTCACTGCAACTTTTGTCTATAATACGTCCGGGTCTACCTGCATACTGAGTTTTGAATCCGATCAGACTTTTGGTTCTGTAGATATAAGGACTTAAACTATGCACTTTCAGGATGACATCATGTGACATGTGATGACGTCATAATGATGTCATGATTCGGCCTGAATCTTCAGATGGTGGTCTAAGTGTGTGCAAGGTTTGAAGTCGATCCGGTGGTATTTTGTGTAAATTTTGGTAATGAGAAGAAAACATTAAAATTAAACAAATTAATAAGAAATCAGATGATGACGTCATGATGACGTCAATTCAGATTTTGAATGCTTTTATCAATACCTACCTGCTCATCAAGTTTCATAATGATCGGATATACCCTTATATGTGAATAAAAAAATTTAAAAATCGCATTTTTGATGACGTCATGATGACGTCACACATTTTACGAAATTTTGTGCATCTATGTATGACCTAACAAACCTTTTATAAAAAGAATTTCGAATTTACCGTGTCCCGTTGATGAGATATGACTAAAAGGTCCAAAAATTGAATAATACAAAAAATCACATGATGACGTCATCGTGAATTCACTGCAATTTTTGTCTATAACATGTCCCGGAATACCTGCACACCAAGTGAGTGCTACGGTCATGCAGAATTTAGGACTAGAGTGTCTCCCAAAAATGTTTAGTCGACACAAAAAGAGGATGAATGTATCCATCATGTGCACTGCTAGTCTGCTGTATACTGAATGTGGCTTGACCATGTTTTAATAGATACACAGGGCGTCACGTAAAATTCAAGGGAAGCTCTTAAATTTTGTTCTTTCACAAAAAAAGTTTAAAGTGATGTTTGGCTATGCAACACAGACAATCAAAATATTGGAATTCATTAACATTGACCGTAATAAGACCCTCATTCTGTAGAATTCTTGTGAATATTTATTGTGAATATTGTAAAGGTTTTCACTCTGGAAAAGTGTCTGATATACAACTAGAGTGCTTGAACATAAATGTACTATTTATATCACTTAAGTAGGTGAATATTTGGCCAAAATGGCAGGTTAAATAAAGGTTGTAAATGACATGTAAATAAAGGTTGTAAATTACATGTAAATAAAGGTTGTAAATTACATGTAAATAAAGGTTGTAAATTACATGTAAATAAAGGTTGTCAGTACCTGTATTTGTGTCTGAATTTACTTAATCCAGTAGTGGATATCTAAAGCCCTTATACTGGCCATCAGGGCTGGGGAAGGCAGGATGTTAGAGGAACTGCGTCCCAAATACCCCCAACACCATCTAACTGCTTGGCGATAGGCCACATGTCTATACTTTCTGTAGTGAAAAAAATTGAATTTTCCAGAGTAATGCAAATTACATGTAATATCACCATAGCTATCCTTTTAAAAAAATGTTTTGTCGCTGAAAAATAAATTTAAAAAGATGGCCCAAGAAGACTGCAAACAAAGATCAAGTGAAACAGTACATGTACAATGTTTTACTCACTGGTCAATGGTTCTCTCAATCGCTGATCGTCCATACTGAGATTGGTACTGGCGATGAGCAATCTGTAATGTGGTAGGATTGACACATGATGCCTGAAACCACTCATGAGTTGTGCGGCAGGACCTACCGGTAGCATCCATCTGCAGCTCATCCATCTTTTGCCTTATTTCAGGAACCTCATGCATTGTCATGGCAGCATTTGCAGTGTGTTTGCTCAGCTTGGAGAACACAGCAATTACATATGCACCTAAAGTTGAAACATAATGAGTTGTAAATTCAAACTACAAACAGGTCACATTTCAATATCGAATAAAAATATCACATGAGGGAAACCATTATGTTGATACAATGGCCAGTGGAAAGAAATCCCTGCAATTACTCATTAGCCATCAGAGAGGGATAACATGTCCTAAAAAGTGAAATTTAGCTGGGAAAATATTGAAGAATTTAGTTAGAAAACACTTCAAATTTTTCATACCAGTCTCATAGGGTTTGTACCAGTGTTGCCGGAGTCAAGACCTCCAAGTCCGAGACCAAGACCAAGACCGAGACCTCATTTAAAAAAAAACGTACACAATAACTAGCAAGTTGTGTACAAACTTGTGCACATATTGTAACAATATCATGTGTTAACTGCAACAACACCACGACGCATGCGCGTCACTTTATTGCATGGTGTGCTATGGTATTGAGATCCCATACTATTACATCCCCCTTTCCTTAAAAAGTAAAACAAATAATAAACATTATGCTTTGGAAGTGGACAACAAAGTTTTGCATCAACTATGCACACAACTGAGAATCTGAGAATTTCACTTTGTGTACATGAAGCATTCTAGATAATGTCACAAAACAGTTGCTCGTTTTAAACTTTTTCTTTTTGTTTGTTGTCTGCTTGTTTTTGTTTTGTTTGAACAACAGAAATTATTTCTTTCATTGGAATTAAAAAAAAATTGATTTTTAATGAAAATATTCCCTTTTTTTTGGAAGTAAAATTAAACCAAAAATAATAGTACAGAAAACAAAAAAAGTTTTGTGTGAACTTCATTTTTGAGAACAAATAGTTTCAACACTTTTTTCTCTTTGATAACAAGGCTTTTTTCTTCCTTTTAAAAACAAACTTGCTCCTAACTGGTAACTTGGAATCAACTGTAACTGGACTTCTTTGTTATCAAATCTAACAAAACACTGTAGGACAACAAGAGTTAAGTGTTTTAGTAGTAAAAACTCGTTTTATTCGGACTAAGCAACCTCTTTAAATGTACAAAAATGAATTCATGTATTTAATTGTAATTGAGCTGATTTCGTTGTTGTAATAAATTGTATTTTTCGTCACTGTTCAACTTCCTCTTTAGATATCAAATGGATTTATATGTCAGTTATATGAAACAAATATCGAATGGCTTTAATTTGTGAAATGGAAGGAATATTATCGCTCAGTTAAACTTACTGTCATCGCGACAGAAACTATCGTAAACCCTTGCAAGGTGAGCTTTTGGCAAGGCTGCAACACTGACTTTACTGGATGGTGTATAAATCCAAGTCCGTTAGGTAATGTTTGATGATTCTTAATTGCTGTGATGTGGGATATGACGTTTTGAACACCCTTAGGGGCGTATAGCAGCATAACACTGCATTGTGTCTTAAATTGCTATTTATACAGTGAATATCAAAGTAAACATAATAAAATGATTTGTTATAGTACAGGAGGTTGGCACGTGTGGTCTAGCGGTAGAGCACAGGATTCATGATCATGAGATCGTGGGTTCGAGCCCCGCCGTGGCCATGTGTGTTGTGCCCTTGAGTAAGACGCTTTACCTCAATTACTCCTCTCAACCCAGGTGTTAAATGGCTACTGGCATTATTTAGCGCTGGAAAGGTAACAGACTTGAGTCTGGCCCAATCGCTTTGAAAGAGAGATGGGCACTCCGTTCAGGCACAGGTTCATCCCCTTTACCTTTACCTTATTTTTTTTTACAGGAATAAACTGGGCTACTTAAGAATAAATAAATGTTGGTTAATAGTATTTAAAAAAAAAGGTTGACCTACAATCATTAAAGTTGTGAATACATGTACAGTCGACCATCAACCAGCACAGAGAAATCTGGTTAACCTGTTCAAATTGAGAATGATTCTGTGGAATCGACGGCGAACATATACCAGACTGCCAAATGTTGTTCACTTCCTTGACACTTCCTTTTCTTAGCCAGTTTTATGCCATAAACATTACATAAACAAGATTATAATACCGAGGCAATGTGTGTAAAGTTGTAAATAGAAAATTCATTGAATAATTATGAATTAGCCTGGAATTTCGCAGTAGAAATCGCAAAGTAGCTATACAGTCCACTGAGAGCTTGTTTTCCTTTATTAAAAATTGCATCACACGGCCGCCATTTTGTTTTATGTTTTAACAAATTTAGAGCAGAGATTTGACCACTCTTTGTTAAATATCGGACGACTAGTTACTTTACGCTGACTAAATCATAAAACAGTCACCAAGTTGTGCTATAAAAACACCCGCGACGTGTCGCACTTACGACTTGTTTTGTGAAATGGATCGCAGGACGTGTCGCAGCTGCAACGCATCGTAGGGACACTACGCGTCACAGCGCTGCGATGCATCGTAAGTTATGATGAGTTTCATGAAATAGGGTGCTGGGGAGCTCTGCTTACTAGAGAAGGTTGGTCATCAAGGGCACAACTAACCAGCTGCCCCTTGCATGGGCCCAAGCTGTGGATGCAAACATTGAAACAGATCGTGTGCAAAGACTCGGAAGGTGGACAACTCAGGATATGCTATTTTCACTATTCCATGCCATCACACTACACAGTCAAAATGATGCAACTGTAAATTTGTACTCCAGTGACTTTTGGACAGTTACAGTGTTTAGTCTTTTCTTGTTTCCTTTTTATCTGCTATACTCATTCTTTTGTGACAGCAAAGATTCTTATCTAGAGGTTGGATGTAATTTATTTACTCTGAATTTACACCACCAAAAAAAAGGGTTGGTATTAGCTACAAAGAAAGAAAGAAAGAAAAACAATCATAAGTAAACATCAAAATTAAACGAAAGAATTAACACTTTCCAATGATCAACGAAATAATATCTCGGTGAATCTAAAGTAATTTAAAAGATGACTAATAATGCAGAAAGGAAAATAAATGTACCTATAAATCTTCTAAAGAACAACATAATAAAGTGTCCTTAAATTCAAAGTTAAAATATCAGTGTTCTTTCCTCTACTGCTCTAAAGCCTGTAAGAATAAACAATGCCTTTAATTTTAATCTCCTTTATAACAACTAGTGCCTTGCATCAACTGAAGGAATGGTATAAGCCACATGTCTCAGAAGTGGGTACCACAGGAAGTGCTTTGTGGTCTACCTAATGAATTATTCATGATCCACACTTAAAGAGGAAACAGCTATTTCAGTGCTCAATGAAGCAAGTTAAAGGAATAAGAAATTACACAATTAAGAAACTGCTTTAAACATAAACGAAATAGCCAGATAGTAAAAACATAAAAAAATCCTGTCACACATTTATTAAAATATAGTTTTTCCAAAAGTTGTTCCTGTGTCCATCGTGCCATCCTTTGATGTAAGTTTGTTTAAACTTGTAGATTAGGATATCACTTCCAGTTTATGTTCAGACAGCAATGTTCATTATGGGTCATAAAATTGGTAAATATCTTTTTGTATTCACAAAATTACACCTATATTGTACATGTACATATGAAAAACTCAAAAGTAACATCTGTTAATGACTGCCTTTTTCTATGGATGACCAGTATTTTTGGCCCATTTTAACCTCTTGTGAACTTTGCAACCCTCATGAAGGACGAAAGTCCGAACATTTGGCACAACTATCAAAAGTGAGCACTGTATTAACTTTGTATACATAAATGATGTGAATTATGCACAATCAACTTTAATTTGAAATGATGTGCACAAATTCATAGTGTTTTCATTCGTGTGCCAGGAATATAGAGTGTAAGTATGTCAGCAATGTGTTCAAGAGTCCCCCTTTACTCTCTCTCTTCATAATGGTTGAGGGGATAAGAAGGTAATGGATACTACTTTTCATTTCAGTTTTGTACTACTCAACACCAAGCCCATGTCTCATTTGAATTAAATGTTATTTCTTTCTTTCTAGGTTCAAGTGCAGGGGCTGGTAGTGGAGAGTTTCATGTCTACAGAGGTTACAGACGTAGAGAGTATGCCAGACAAATGCACATACATAAAATAGCTGAACAGGTATTTCAGAAGTTTAATTGCAAAGTATGTTTCTGTTTTGTTGTACTATTCTGTGTGAATGAGAATGTTTAATTGAGTGAGATTCACTCACAGGAAGCATTCAAAAAGTATTAATGACTGGTTTGTTCAAAGATGTATTCAGGATAAATGCACAATAAATATGAAAAATGCACAATAAATATGAAATCTATCATCAGATATCTCTTACACTCACCTTGTGGTGTCTATTGACTATGTCACTCAAGCAATCACAATGGGCAACTTCCATGCGAAAGGAGACACGGCTGGAAATTTGAAGATTTTATGGAAGTTTCAAAACTGCAAACAACTCAACCTCAAATGTGCGATCAAATAAAAGGGGACAACAAGACCAAATGTTATTTGAGTGGTTTGCTAGTGAGATAGAATATGGCAAATTGCATTTTCTTTTGGAAACAAAATGGGGACAAGTATTGATTTCAAATCATTTTGGCGTCTTGTTTGAACTTGCAAAATGCAAATGTTATTGTGGGTTTTTGAGAAAGATTCAAACTGGCCTTTTATAATAAAAAAAACACAAACTAAGGCCCCCCCAAAAGCCTCCGGTTTGTGGTCTTTCTTTTTTTCAATGTAAGATGATGTCTCAACACTGCCAAACTCACTGGTTTGACTGGAATCCTGCTGCTGCACAATTTTAACGTGTTTTTAGATAAAATGCTCAAGGGAGCAGACTAATGACCAGCCTGACAGCTCATGCACGATGTCGATGTTGCTGTATGGTCTGACGTTACCGTTTTCTTTGATTTTTGTCTTGACTATCCAAAGTTCCTGAAGAATGTTCGTGTCGGTTGAGATCTTAAGTGGGTGCAGAATTCTCAAGCCTTATGGCCTTGTTGAGGTCACCTCAAGCTCCACCCTGAAGGATACTTTGGAGAGTTTTAATAAGGGGATCAAAGTGTCATCTACAACATCAGTCAACATTTGAAGAGAAAAAAAGGAGGGGGAAAAAAGCCGGGTCGCCGCGCCACTTTTGGTGCAAGCTCCATACCAGAAACTGAAGACTTTTTTTGGCCGTAGAATACTACACTTATGTTTCAGTATGTTTATTATCGTGTGTGAAATTAATTTCAGACTCGTAACATCTGTAAATTTGTATAAAAACAGACATGATGTTTCAATAACACCAAAGTAGGTTTTTGGAAAATGTCATTGGTGTTTGTATAGAGTGAAGCTATATCTATCACAACGTACCGTTAGTTATTTCATTAAAATTCTTGCAAGAAGCTTCACAGCCCTGGGAAGGCCATAAAACAATCTTGTACCCCCAGTTGCTCCCACCTCCCACCATGGAAATTTGTTAGTCCTATAGTTGACCATGGTTAACGGGTATAACGGGTATAACAGAAATTGCCCCCACTCTCACCCATTGTAACATCCAGCCTCCACCTCCCCCCACCAAGTCGCCTCCCTAAAGCTGAACATTAACAAGAAAAATATGAAAACGTGAATCTCTAATCAAATAAATATGTGTTAAGGGTCTTTCTAAAGACATCCAAGGAAGGACACGGTCGGATGTGCTGCGGGAGATCATTCCAGAGCCGAGGTGCATGTGCCTGGAATGCATTGTCACCAGCTGCAGTAAATATTCTGGGCACTAGGAGCAGGGTCATGTCCTGACTGGAGCGGAGGCCAGGTCTTGCAGAGTGATGGGGCATGATGAGAGAGTCTCATCCATTTCTGTAGGTGTAGAATGCAATTTGACAGAGACTGGAGAGCACTGTTCACTGAGACGGGAGTTTTGGGATCAGTGAAGGTGTACTGCACAACACCATCAGCAAATGAGTGATAGTGCATACCTTCATTCTGTCTGATAATGTCTGACACTGGGCTCATGTACATGCTGAAACGTTGACAGCTGAGAACCAGGCCCTGAGGAACGCTGTAGTCCAGGGACTCAGGTTCGGACAACTCACAGGCAACTTTGAATCTACATTTGTGATCTGAGAGGTAAGATGCAAACCACGACCTAGCAGTGCATGAATATTGAAAGCACTTCAGACAGTCTGTCGAGCAGGATATTGTGGTCAACTAAGGCAGCCGAAAGTTCCAGTAAAACAATAAATGAAGCAAACTTCCTATGCATGGCATGAACTATGTCATTCTTGACCCTCAAGAGTGCAGTCTCTGTACTGTGATGATGTTGATAGGCTGACTGAAGGTCATCATTCAGGTCCAGGTGCTACGAAACTTGACCGAGAGCCACTCTCTTAATGATCTTGGACAAAATGGCACGTTAGAGACTGGTCGGTAGTTCTTCTAGCTTTCGCAATCGAGATTAGGTTTTTTGATGAGAGGTGTCAGGATAGCTTCCTTGAGGGGCAATGGAAATCTACCAGAGCTGAGGGATGTGTCATCTACATAGCCAGTATACAGACGAAGGAGATTTTTGTCATGAATGACATCTTTAATACCTACAGTTTCAGGTTTCATTCACAGAAAAGTTTATTTCGATAATAAAGTGGGGAAAAAAACAACCATTTTGTGTTCATCATTCTGTTGTTCTACAACAAAGCCAGCTATTTCAAAGCCTGTTTTCTCAGTTGTGTAATTCGAACTCCAAGGAAGTAATTAATATGCAAATACATCATACATGTATCTCCAGAACAGGAGGGGCTATAGAGCTCTATAAAACACCAAATGAAAGCTTACATTATGGGTTTTCCAAACAAACTCAATTTCACTTTTTTTGCGACATAATACCCTTTTTTTGTGGAGCCGGTCAGATTTGCCATTCATCAGGTGTCATTTAACCCTTGGAGGAAGAATACATTAAGCAGTACATCCAGAATTACAAAATCATATTTGTCCGATTTGAAAGGCACAGGGAAAAGTGGACCCCAAATTGATAGAATATGAGCATGAGAGGGGAATCAGTCCAGTTCTACTTAAAATATAGCATGTTTCTCAATGAATAGCAATTATGTTAAAAGCCTGATTGAGTGAACACTAGCTGCAGGTACATGATGTATTCATATCTGTCTTTTATAGGAGGAGCATGAAACTGAGTTTCAGAAGAAATTGGAGGAAAATCAAAGATTAGCTGAAGAGAAAACAACAAAAAAGAGGAATAAAAGGTAAAATAGGAGAAAATCACAATTCGAAGTTAAACTAGATTTGTATCAGTTTTGTATTTGAATCACTTTTCATAGCCAGAACACCATCACCAAGACAATGAGTACTTGTTCATGTCCATCAACTACATGGTGAAAGTGATCTTTAGACACAATTAGACACAGTACCAGGGGCGGATCCAGGAATTTTCGCAGGGGGGGGGGGGGGTTTCATCACCAAAAAATTCTGAAAATGTACACAGTTTTTTTTCTCTGGACACTTGGCCTCCGTAAAATTAAAACACTGGGGGGGGGGGGGGGGGGTGTACCATTTTTCAATAGGGGTGCTGTTCAAATTCGATGATTATTAACACTAGATTACAGAATGGTGTACCGTATTTTGAACAGGCAAACATTATACCAGTAAAACTTTTTTTGGGTGTCACAGCAGGGGGGGGGGGTTTGACTTATTTTTTAGGAAATTGTATGGGAAATATATTTTTTTGACAGAGCTGGGGGGTTTTTGACCCCCAAAACCCCCCCTCTGGATCCGCGCCTGAGTACCAATCAGTAAGTTTAGTTCTAAAGGTATTTTCATCATCTGCCATATCTTTTAATGTCGGTTCATGCATGGATATGCAATATTATTGGACATCTTTCTCATTTATTAACCAGTCTTCTGAACTTGTTTAACACAAATGATCATATAATTCGCATGTGTAACAAGGTTTTGGTTTCAGAGAGTTCAATTTTGGTTCATGACCTCATTCAGAACTTTAAAATAAGACTTCTAGCCCCACATCTATGGAGGAACTCAGTTATACTTTGAAATACCATTTTATATGAATCTGCAATATTGCAGTGTTATGTATCCTAATGTGCATGGCAATTTGGGATAGACTCCCCTTCCAACTGTAAGGCGCCCCCAAAATGGGCACTTATGGTTAAAATGTATGTGACGATTGTGCTGTTGAGAGCAACTTCACAGCACAACAGGCAGAATCAAATTCAGCACCCTCAGAATGAGTAAGAACACCCATTGTCATGTTGCACCAGAAGTGAAAACAGACTATATTTTCAAGTCAAGATGGGATTTCTGGCTCGCTGTCTATTTTTCAGAGTTGGTTTATTTGTTTGTTTCAAATTGCCTTTGAATGCAGGAGAAAGCATTGTAGATTTCAAAATGTTCCCGGGCCCCTGACCTCTAGCAAGGCACGCCTTCACTCAGATCTGTCCCTGGTCCATGTACTTGAAACTCCAGCCACTGTAACATGGGCTGGAGTTTTTCCCGCATTGAAAGCTGCACAATTAAACTGCAAGTTTAATTGTGCAGCTGTAGTTCTACAGCTTCACATTGATTTTTTTGCATCAGGGCAATTCCACGGTTACTTACGTTACATTTTTGATGTACTTTTGAGTTTCCTTGGGCTGTAATTACCTTACTGAAAAGGTTTAATAACTGTTATCCCCATGGTAGATAGAGTAGACCTAGACCTACCTAAGCACCAAAGATGACATCCAGAAAAATGTGTTATGTATGATAAACAAGACGCACAAAATCAGTTACTCACGTTACATTTTCGTATTTCAACATTAAAGCGGGCCTATAACAAAATGTGGGGCAACTCAACCAGGGGCGACTTTAAACAATCATCTGACCAGACATTTTCTTCAGAAAAGAATGTTGCAACTTGAAGCTACTATTTGCTTCATATACATGTATATGGAATTCGACTAAAGGTCATCTCACTAACAGTCAGTCATTGCAAAAAATAATCTTGAAAAGACATGAATCTGAGGCTGACATTTTCTTGACTCTCCATAGACTTTGTACACAGCCGCTAAAGTGGCGCCTGGATGACACAGCCGCTAACGTGGCGTCTGGATGCTTCATTCTTTCCTTTCTTCATCCTGTTAGTCTGAGAAATTCCCCTAAATATCGGAATTACTCATTATCCCCAATATATCCCCCTAAATATCGAAATTATTCATTATGGTGTCAAGCGCATCAGCTACAGAGAGCCTACATTGTACCTGTTCAATTAGCACCTGCTATTGAAACCTGGAAGTAGAGAAAACTCAAGGGATTTAGCATCCTGATGCATCATTCAACTTGCATTGCTGTGAATCTGAGGAATGATGAGTTGCGACCTCAATTGATGTATTTTTGAGAAGGAGTTCATTATACAGTGAGGTTTTGAAATGCATATTCAACAACGTCTTTTTTGTGAACGCCAGGTGTCCTCTGCATGGGAATGCGTTCAAATTTCTCTTTTGACATTCGATGGTCTCCCAGACTCATTCCCAACCCCCATAACTATGGATACTTCCAAAGTCCACAATGGAAGCACCGGGAACCAATCTAAGTCTCCACCAACTCTTCTTTTATTTTAACCTCAATTTGCATGTTGACCCCAAGTGAGCGTGGTTAACCTTGGGGAAAACATTTTTGCACATTTTTCATCATGAATGTTATGTTTCTCGTAGTAGCTAAACCTTTTGAAATGTTTTTATAGAGATGATGTTGTTATATTTAAAGGGAATATACATCATTTGCTTTTACTGTAATTTTCAGAAATGGATGGAATTGGGAGGTTGGAAATATATAGCAAATATAGTTACACTGACTTTTTTGAGGTTTTGGGTTCGAAAATGCTATAAAAACCAAGAAAAACAATCATTTTCCTGTAGTCTGGTTCCCTGACTCCATATAAGAAGAAACAGAGCAGTTTACATACATTGGGGAATTGTAAGGTCAGGGAACCAGTGTAGCTGGCTCGTACCCGTTCATAGGTTTGTAATCGATTGCAAACAAGTGCGATGGTCAATTGGGGCCAGTATTTGAAAAAAAAGCCAGTTTTTTCCAACGCTGATCGGCCGATCAGCGTTTGAAATTGATACAAAAATACCATTTTTCTTGAAAATGACAGTATACCAGGTGCCATGATTTTACAGGATGCTTTACACTGTCATTCACTAACAGTCCAGCAAGGTATTTCAAAATGATTTGGTAGTTTTATTTTTTGATGTTTGCAAATGTTGTATTTTCCCTTTAACTATTGAAGGTCTGAAAGAAACCAATTTTGCAAAATATTTTAATACAGGGTGAGTAAAAAAACAAGTGCGACTGCACCATAACCTGTGGCCGTATTGCATGAAAGTCTTGCATGAAATGATGGAAATACTCACTTGGTCGTGATTGTCAATTGAATTAAGAATTTCCCGTTTTGTTAAAAGTCACAATGCAAAATAATAGTAACCTTCATAATGCAACTGTATCCTCACTCCTACGCCCTGGAGACTCATTAAACTGACACAGGGCCAGAGGCAGGGGTGATGTATAGTGACAGGTGTGTAGAAACCCCCTAGCTTCATAAGTTGGTAGCACACAAAAATACCACTATGTGACTATCACATTACCACTTATTTTCTTGCCCCTATTCAAACAATTTCAAAAACAATGTCACAAATTGTTAAAAACAATTTTTGTCAAGTATTTAATGTGTTTTGTTTGCCTTTTTTTTGGACATTTAAATTTGGTATTCATAAGATGGAATTTTGCGTCGAGGTGATGTAAATCAAATTAGGTTTTGCCTTTCACCGACTAAACACTGTATACTTAGTGTGTTGCCTCTGTCAAATCACTCTGGTGGGAAGGGCAAAATCTAATTTGATTTACATCACCCCGACACAAAATTCCATCTTATGAATAGTTAATGCGGTACCCGCTGCTATGTACATCAGATTCGAACCAGCCAACCGATCCCGTTATTAGCTCGGTGGTCGAGTGGTAAGACATCTGCACTAGAAAGCAGTTTTTCCAACTTTCACTCGGGAGGTAACACACTGAGTATACAGTGTTTATACGTCGGTAAAAGGCAAAAACCTAATTTGATTTACAATTTGGTACTTACAGTTTTACAGGTGGGTTAGGGGGTTCGTTTTTGGTTCTTTTTTTTTGGGGGGGGCACCGACCGACACCCGAGCGACTTGTAGAAGCTCTGTTGCCAGAGCTTAAAAAGGAAACCCAAATATGAGGATTTTTTTATGCCCCGCGGCGAAGCCGAAGGGGCATACTGTTTCCGCCTTGTCCTTCCGTGGGTGGGTGGGTGGGTGTGTGGGTGTGTGTGTGGGTGAGCTTGTCTTACATACGCAGTGTGGACTTCCGAACAAAAGACGTCCACATAATGTAGGTAGCAGCGACGAAGTGTGGACTTGCCCACGTCCACACAGTGTTTCCCCATTTCTGGAAAACAGGTTTAGAGGCATTTTTGGGTTAGGTTTATCTGTAGCAGAATGAAGAGAAACACTAAAGGGAATCATTGAAAAAAAATTGGGTTGTAAGAGTTTTCACAGTTTGAGAAAAATGAGTTTTTCCACTGGTGTTCCTTAACTACACGAAAAGAAAGGAAAGTCCACACTAGGTATGTGAAACAAGTCTGTGTGTGTGGGTGGGTGGGTGTGTGTGTCCGGACAAATCTTGTCAGCACGATAACTTGAGAAATACTTAACATATGAACTTCAAATTTGGTCTGTGTATTGTTCTTGGTAATCCTAAGAGGCCTATTGCATTTGGGGCCGAAAGGTCAAGGGTCAAGGTCACAGTGGCTGAAACAATAGAAATTTTGTCAGCGCGATAACTTGAGAAATACTTTACATATGAACTTCAAATTTGGTTTGTGGATTGTCCTTGGCAATCCTGAGAAGCCTTTTGCATTTGGGGCCGAAAGGTCAAGGGTCAAGGTCACAGTGGCTAAAACAAAAGAAATTTTGTCAGCGTGATAACTTGAGATATACTTTACATATGAATTTCAAATTTGGTTTGTGGATTGTCCTTGGCAATCCTAAGAGGCCTATTGCATTTGGGGCCGAAAGGTCAAGGGTCAAGGTCACAGTGGCTGAAACAATAGAAATTTTGTCAACGCGATAACTTGAGAAATACTTTACATATGAACTTCAAATTTGGTTTGTGGATTGTCCTTGGCAATCCTGAGAAGCCTTTTGCATTTGGGGCCGAAAGGTCAAGGGTCAAGGTCACAGTGGCTAAAACAAAAGAAATTTTGTCAGCGTGATAACTTGAGATATACTTTACATATGAATTTCAAATTTGGTTTGTGGATTGTCCTTGGCAATCCTAAGAAGCCTATTGCATTTGCGGCCGAAAGGTCAAGGGTCAAGGTCACAGTGGCTAAAACAAAAGAAATTTTGTCAGCGCGATAACTTGAGAAATACTTTACATATGAATTTCAAATTTGGTTTGTGTATTGTTCTTGGTAATCCTAAGAAGCCTATTTGCATTTGGGGCCGAAAGGTCAAGGGTCAAGGTCACAGTGGCTGAAACAATAGAAATTTTGTCAGCGCGATAACTTGAGAAATACTTTACATATGAACTTCAAATTTGGTTTGTGGATTGTCCTTGGTAATCCTAAGAAGCCTTTTGCATTTGGGGCCAAAAGGTCAAGGGTCAAGGTCACAGTGGCTAAAACAATCGAAATCTTGTATTTATTCTGAGATCATAGGGATTAGGGATTAATTCATATAAAACCTACAGAAGACACTAATGCTGTCAATGAACATTCCATGTGACCAAGGTACATGTAAGTTGATGTTAAAAGAGTGGTGTTATGTCATGGGAACAGTCACGGTTGCGGGGCATTTGTGTTTGTAAACACACCTGACTTGTTTGTAATGAAGTTCTACATGTAGCACTTTTAAAATCTAGGATAAAATGCCGAATTCATAGGCTTTATTTTAGTTCAAGAATCATTCAAATCACTCATGGACTTTCCAAGTTTTGGACTTTTAAAAACAATCACTGTTTTGTACTTCTGTCCACGGATTACAAAAAAGGTTAGTGTTCTTTCAGTAAAACGAAAAACAATTCACATGTGTGAGAACTGTTTTCTTTGCATCAATAATGAACATGTGTCCTCTCCGAACTAAATCAGCATTCACTTTCCCTTTTTGGACTGATGACGTCATCAAACCATAAATAACTTGTACGTATACATAAAATGTATACTGAAATGTGATACATTTTTGTTTTAAACAAAGTCATTGCAATGATTGTACTGGAAAGGTTAAATTTGCGCGATCCTTTGTTCTGACATAAAATTATTCCTAACTTAACTGGGCTGTGTCTCATGAAATAGATGCTGGCCCAACCACTCTGGCTTTGTAACTCAACAAACGCCTTATACCTCTAGTCTAGCTTTGAAACTGACTTTGGAACAAATGGAGCAAAACATAAACATAAACATAAAAACTTTTACTCTTAAAATTGTCACAGACATGTACACATATACGTGTGGAAATATGGCTTTACTTCACAGTGTCATATCTATCTCAAACGTTCTTTTGACTTCACTCTGATGGTACTAGTACACTGAGATATAAATAACCCCCCACACTTTTTAAAGTGGAGGGGTATCCTATCAGTTGCCCCTCCCTGCTTTTTTTCTCCATATATTATATCAAAACTTGCTCAAACTGTTACATATTTACATTACATCAACTATAAATCAATTTTGACTCCGCATACAACAATTTATATTTGAAGTTTTATAACAAAATCACTTACACCTATTAAAACTAAATATCAGGATATGTGTGTGCCATACATTGTTACTTATACAGGGTGTTTCAAAAAAAAGGAAACCCAACTTTGAAGAACCAGTATGGACAGACTAAATGTTTACTGGCTATAAAACTGGTGTCATCTGAAAGCGTCATCTCTATGCTTTTCAATGATACCTTGTTTACATTTCCAGGGTCATGCATTACTCAGCGCCATTGTCATGAGATTTTGATGCAAAATTGCAGTTGGTTCACTTTCATGTCAAACACAATAGGCAACAGGTGTGCATGAGAATAAATATTCAAGAAGAAGACACGAGTGCATAAAAAGAAACAAAAAAACAAGTCGGGTTGGTTTCAAAACTGGATTTTATTGCCATGATTTTCTCGTTTTGACCAAGCCACGTTCAAAACAATGTGCCATTTTCCCCGAGGATTAACATTCAATCAAGCCATTTCACAGACATCTCCGTAACAATAGGCACACCGTCCCAAGTGTTGTTTTTTTATGAAGGTGAACCAACTGCATTTTTGCATCCAGTTTTTAAGACAATGATGCTCAGTGATGCATGACTCAGAAGACCTAAACACGGTATCATTGAAAAGCATAGAGATTACGCTTTCAGATGATACCAGTTTTATAGCCAGTAAACATATCGTCTGTCCATACTCATTCTTTGAAGTTGGGTTTCCTTTTTTTTTTAAACACCCTGTACAAATCAACTGATTGCAGGGACTCAGTTGAATGAACGCCAATAAGGCTGATAGTGAACACTTACGTAAATCTAATTAATGCATGGATGGTTCAAATTGTAAGAGGGCAATAAGAACAATTTTTTTCAAATGAAATTCTGTCTTAAACTGTGGTCAAAATCACCATAATTTCAACTTACAAACAAAAGGAGAACCGATTCGATTTGTAATGTGAGCGAAAAGGCAGTTCACTTTCACCCTGAGTTCAGTTCTGTGCTTGGTGTTCTTTTACAGGATGAAAAGGAAACAGAAGACGGTCCAGAAAAAGAAGCAAAAAGTACAAGGTCCCGAAAGAGGTTTGTTGCAATTACAGTACATGTTAATTGTGTAGTGAGAAATGGAGGGGGGGGGGGGTGGAGTGATGTTCATGTATGTAATGTACATGTACATGTACTGTAAGCAGGTCATTTTAGACATTTTAGACCACTTTCTTACCGTTCATTTCAATTTCTCTGGCATGCCACAATCTTTAAACACTGACATCACGGTGCCCTTTTTGTATTCAACATACCTTTCAACCTTTCAACAAATTAGCTTCTTTGCTGATCAGCTGATAGCATTAGACTCTACCTTTTGGGAATTTTCTTTTTCCTGCCCTTTTCTTTGTTCTGTCGATTCTTAAGTATTCTTTTCAATACAGGTAGCTATATAATATGCCAACATTTAAACTAAAAATCTGAAGTTTTTTGTGTTGTTTTAGTTATTTAACAATGTACAATAAAAGTATGTACAATGTAAATGATTAAATTTGTCTTGACAGGGAAAACAGACGGACTAAATGATGGAGGATGTTCCAATGATGACAGAAATGAGAACAGACCCAATGACAATGAGGAGGATGAGGAGGATGAGGATGATGCAGAGGAGAACTGCTTTGTTATTGGTGGCAAATAATGGTGACATTTTTTTTAATTTTCTTTTTTTAAACAACTGTTTCTTGTACATGCTACTGTCCATATGTTCAACTGGAATAGATTATTTATTGAGCTAGAGTGGTTTTTTTTTTCTCCATGGAGCAATCCTATCTTTTCAAAAAGGTATAACTAAATTAAATAGTGTGTACTTCGTCGGTTGCACCACATTTTTTTTTTTTTGCATTTTTTTTGGGTGTTTTGAGAAAAAAAAAAAGATTTAAAGTTGGTCATTATTTTGAAGGCTCATTCCATATACTCCCTGTGTAAGATTCAAACTGTTTGTTTTTGTTTTTGCTAGTAAATTATAGATTAAACTTTGTTGTATGCAATCCGTGTGCATCTGAGTTGCTTAGTTTTTGAGAAATTCAGTTCCCAAGATACACGTCACTTCGTGAAACAGATTTTTATCATGTTTATCGTATTTCATACAACACGCATAATAGTGGCCGTGTGCCAAATATGGGGATATGTCGGTTCGTGAAACGCTAAATTCACTCTTTTCATATTGACGCTGCTTGGTGACGTCATAGCACTATGGGAATTAGCGTATAAAGCGGCGTATCGCGATACGCCACTTTGTGGTGCAAGATTGATTATTTTTTAGAGATACGCCGAACAGTCTAATTAGCGTTCTTAGTTAATTAGAACTCAGATCGGAATAAAACTTTTTAAGAATGAGCACTTTGATGAAATAATAACGTTTATGACAAAAACTCAATTTGGCAAATAATCGAGATACGCTGGTTCGTGGTGCGACCGATGACTTGTACATACACGGTTAAAAATACAAAGAAGTACAATATGAAAAGTCTTAACTGTGTTACTTTGGACAACAAATAGAAATCTGTTAAAAAGGGACACTGATGAAATATTGTTTAAATCATTTTTTGTTTGTTTTTGATTTGCACAAATTTCCTTCAAGGCATTTGAAGGAATACATACTGCAGCATTGTTTGACAAATAACTGCAATTTGACTCAAGGTATGCCAGAGCCTATCTATATCAATCTTTATCTTCATATAAACTTGAATCCTCGATCCTGATTGGTCGATCCATGCGCGCCATTCCATACCAACATGCACATGTAATAGGGTAACCGCTGAAAAGTTCTTGTACTGCATGTGTGTTCCATCTTTACTGTTCGTCAAGTTTGCTTGAAGATAAATTCATTATTGCTCTTGCACTCGTGAAACACGGAAAATGTTGTGCGTCTGTGTCCCACAGAGGCACTACATTATTCCATGTTCCACTTGCGCTTGTGGAATAATTAATAGTATCCCTTGTGTGAGGCTGTAATTCTCTATATGAGTATTTGAGATGTCTGGATATTCCAGGTTCGTTTCTTTGTAAACACTTATTACCCCAGTCAACCTTTCCTCTCAATTTCAAATGGACTTCTAAAGCCATGTCAAGATTACTGCTGACTATACATACATACATGCAGTTTGTAATTGACTGAAGTATACAAATAAAAGCAGGAAAACTGTAACACAGTTGTATGCCAGCCAGTATCTCACTCAGCCATGAAACAGATTCATGAGTCAACAATTTATTGCTTGCTATTAAGTTAAGATCAGTGACTAGTAACTAGGAACAATCAGATCAAGCTTGTTTGTTTGGAAGATGAAAAAAACATGATACGGAGAATTCGATTTTGGTATGTAATGCAGCCACAGCCACCTTCATGAAAGTCGCATTCATAACTAAGCTTCCATCACTAACATTTTCACACATTCCTACTGACTCTTTCCAGTTTGGCAGTATTAAAGCATAGAGCAAGAAACAGATGAGCTACTTTGTGGCTTTCTGTTTAAAATGAGCGTGAAAAGAGAGTAAATGATTATGCCATTCAAAAGCTACCATGGTAGCAAACTTGTGTGCTACCATGGTAGCCCATCCTGGCAAATTCCAACACCATATGGGAAACCGCACACACATATTTCTGACTTAGTTTCTGAAGGCGTGCCGACCCAATGTAGAGGACTGTCAGTTTAGGGGTACTGTACCCATCCTGACAGATTCCAACAAAACATGGCGTTGGGGTTTGATGGGTTGAGTTCTGTTAGGGTTAATATTGTGCAAGTGTTACTGGCAGACTTGTGTGTCAGTATCAAAGTAGGATGCAGATTCACACTTACAATTCAACACACTTCATGCTCTGAATTTATGCATTTTTGAGTCTCTAAGCATGCTGATTATTACTGGATTCAGATTACATGTACACTACTGCAACGCATATTCCACATGAAACATTATATAGATGATTGACAGCATGCAATTCGTATCACATTACCTCTGAAAAACACTGTCTGGTACTGGTTTCTTTCAACATTTTTTTTTGTCAAACCAATGAGCTTAAGAATTCCATTGTAAAGATGATTGTAAGAAAAATACAATAAATCAGTAACTATTTCATACACAAAGTGGTTTTTGGCCTTTTTTATTTTCAGGATTATTCACTGCAAGGTATCAAGAATTAAATTAGATAAATTAGAAGGGGGAAGGCCAAGATATGGTAGAATAACAATGCCAAATACTTTCAAGGGTCCGTTAGCTCTTAAATTGAAGATGTCTTTTGGGGATATATATATATTTTTAATTTTTGTTTAAAGTTTATTTTGGTGATTCTACTTTCGCACCCTTAAATAACATTTTCTGAAGCATATAAGTGACTGAATAATTATAAGGACATAGAAACAATCCAAAATGGCTACTATTATACCCAAATTGCTAAATATCACAATGAATTATCATTGTTCACATGATTTTCGATAAGATTTTAATAGGGTAACTGTGTCAAGTAAGCAACTTTGTGAATTTGAAGCTCATAAATACTGAGGTTTGGCGAGACTACTTGACGATATCTAGAGACAAGGTAAATGCGCGCAACTTTTGGGTATAAAAGTAGCCATTTTGGATTGATACTATGTCCTCATAATTATTCAGTCACTTATATGCTCAAAAAAATGTTATTGAAGTAAGGATGTTTACACATCCTAACTTCAAGAATCACCAAAACATTTAAATTAGAGGTTTGCGTTTGTTGAGTTACAAACGCAGAGTGGTCGGGCGGACAGCCTTTCCATTATACACTGCCCAGTTAGGTTAGAAATATATGTTTATGTAGAACAAGGATCACGAAATTAAATCCCTTCCAGTGAAATTAATTATTTTGTTACTGTATCTTTAACGGTGTGATAAATTTCAGTAAATATTGTATGTGCGCAAAAAAGGTCTTTCTGGTTTGATGACGTCATCAGTCGAAAACGGTAAGTGAATACTGATAAATTTCGGAGAAGATACATTTTCATTGTGAAGTTAAAATAATGCATGAAAATATGGGAAATATAATTGTATTATAAGACCTAACTGCTGGTTTGATGACGTCACAGCATTAGATATCCAAAGGTGAACATTGTAATGGATATTATTTGGCCTACGAAGATATGACGGATCAAATGATAGAATTAAATTTAAAATATGATCCTTTTCAAATTCTCCTAAAAAGTAACTTCCGGTCTGATGAGTGATGACGTCATGAATTTGAAATCTTGCCAAGTTATGGTTAATCAGAGAATATCAAGGAGCGATTTGGTAAAATTTGGAAGGATGGTTTAAAGATTAAAGAAAGCAAACTCTATTGTATGTGCCGCTAGGGGCGCCCTTTCAGATGATGGCGTCATCACACTTTTTTGTGTCTGGTATTCCTCACTTAACACTTTCATAATTTATATGTGTGTAGTAAAATGCTTCCGCTTTTGAGTTATGTTCGGTTTTTATTGTACTTCCGGTAACACCGGAAGTGAAGGTCAAGTGGTTTTGTGTCTGGGGAAAAGAAATGTTTCTCTGGGCATAGTCTACCACCTCACGAAAAAATGAACCCGATACTCTATTTCAGGCACGGTTCTAGAACCAATATTTTGGGGGGGCTAGCACGGTGGATCCAGAATTGTTTCGGGGAGGCGTGCTGAAATGTTGACTGGTTATTTTTTCCAGACACTTAGGTCTCTGAAAATCAATAGGGGGGGGGGGGGGAGGGGGGCTCATGCCATATTTTCAATGGGGAGCGCCAATAAAATCCTAAAATCATTCACACTATATTAACTAATGCGCCCTTGTCACGGCTATTTCTTCTTTAGGGGGAGACCGTTTGCATGTACATCACAATCCTTCTTTTTGCTAATGCAATTTTTTTTTTCTTTGGAATTTATTTGGGGGGGGGGCTAGACCAAATTTGGGGGGGGGCTACAGCCCCCCCCCCCCCCCCCCCCCCCCCCCAGATGAGGGTCGATATATATTGAAAGTTACAGGTTCATACCGTATACCGTTTAGGAGAAAACCCGCGGAGAAGTTTTGTCCGAAAAAAAAAAAAAAGAAAGAAAGATTTATTGTAACAGAGCCAGACTCAATAATAGAGAGTGGTCGGGTTGCACTAGAGGTTCACGTTTGTTGTTACAAACGCAGAGTGGTTGGGCAGGTAATTTGTTCATTAAAGTTGAGTTATGAATATGTTTATGTAAGAACAAGGATCAAGAAATTAAATCCTTTCCAGTACAATCTTTAACGGTGTGATAAATTTTAGTAAACATTCTATGTACACAAGCATACAAGTTATTTCTGGCTTAATGACGTCATTATTCAAAAACGGGAAGTGAATACTGTTTAGTTCGGAGTGGATAAATGTTCGTTGTGAAGTTAAATAACGTATGAAATATGGAAAATATAACTGTATGCATTCATAACACCTAACTCCAGTTTGATGACGTCACAGTATTTGGAAGCAAAAGGTAAACACTGTAAGGGATATCGTTATTTGGGCTACGAAGATATACGACATGAATCAAATGATATAATTAAATTAAAAATATTATCGTTTTCAAATTCTCATAGAAGTAATTGAAACCTTGCCAAATTTTCTGTGGTTAATCAAATATAATATGTGAATGTGAATGAATAAATATAAAATGTAATATGAAGGGGCGGTTTTGTGAAATTTTAACGGATGGTTTTCGAATTAAAGAAAGCAAATACTATTTAATATGCCGCTAGGGGGTGCCCTTTCGAAAGATGACGTCATCACACTGTTTTGTGTCTGGCATTCCTCAATAAACACTTTCAAAATATATATGTGTGTAGTAAAATGCTTCCCCTTTTGAGTTATACTCGGTTTTTATTGCACTTCCGGTAACACCGGAAGTGAAGGTCAAGCGGTTTTGTGTCGGGGACAAGAATTGTTTCTCATAGCATAGTCTACAACCTCACGAAAAAACAAACACGATACTATATTTAGTTCAAAAGATATAGCGCAAACTATTTCGTCAAAATTTGCCCTTAAATCGCTTGTAATTTGATACCTGATGACGTCATGATGACGTAACAAAATATATAGTATCTTCGTAACGTGGTACAAATTCACACTAGGTTTTATGATCATACCCGTAAACTGTATGGAAGAAATTTGCTTTGTTTTGATTTCAGGCTAAAGTCTTCATTTTGAATTCACCTAACTTTAACCTTCTGGTTGACCCGGAAGAAGGAGTCAAGTGAGTTCACGTACACAAAAAGAAATATTTATCAATTCATGGTCTATCTTATTACAGAATATAAACATCACTGATTATTTTGTTCAAGAGTTATGGGTGAGGGTAATTTGACCCTTTTCCAGCTAAAATCGCTTGTAATTTGACACCCGATGACGTCATCATGACATCAGAGTAATATGCACCACTTCAGATGAGGGTCGATATATATTGAAAGTTACAGGTTCATACCGTATACTGTTACGGTTTAGGAGAAAACCTGCGGAGAAGTATTGTCCGGAAAAAAAAAAAAAAAAAAAATTATTGTAACAGATCCAAAGAGTGGTCAGGTTGTGCCCGACCACTCAACTAGAGATTCGCGTTTGTTGTTACAATCGCAGAGTGGTCGGGCAGACAATTTTTTTACGAAACACTATCTAGTTAAGTTATGAATTGTATGTAAGAACAAAGGATCACGAAATTAATTATTTTGTTTAAAAATGCATCTTTAACGGTCTGATAAATTTCAGTAAACATTTATGTACACATACAAGTTATTTCTGGCTTGATATCTTCATTATAGTCAAAAACAGAAAGTGAATACTGATTTAGTTCGGAATGGATGTTCATTGTGAAGTTAAATAACGTATGAACATTTGGAAAAATATAAGTGTATGTATTCATAACACCGAACTTCCGGTTTGATGACGTCACAGTATTTGGAAGCAAAAAGAGAACACTGTAATGGTATCGTTATTTGGGCTAAAATATACGACATGGATCAAATGATAGAATTTCACTTAAAATATGATCGTTGGCAAATTCTCATAGAAGTAACTTCCGGTCTGATGACGTCATGAATTTGAAACCTCGCCCAGTTATCTATGGTTAATCGAAGAATATCAAGGGGCGATTTGGTAAAATTTGAACCTATGGTTTTAAAATTAAAGAAAATATACACTATTTTATGTGCTGCTGGGGGCGCCCTTTCGGATGATGACGTCATCACACTGTTTTTCGTGTCTGCCATTCCTCACTAAACACTTCCATACTATATATGTCTGTAGTAAAATGCTTCCGCTTTTGAGTTATATTCAGTATTTATTGCACTTCCGGTAACACCGGAAGTAAAAGTCAAGCGGTTTTGTGTACGGGAATAGGCATAGTCTACAACCTCACGAAAAAAAATGAACACGATACTTTTTCAGTTCAAAAGATATAACGCAAACTATTTTGTCAAAATTTGCCTTTCAATCACTTGTAATTTGATACCTGATGACGTCATGATGACGTTACAAAATTTATAACATCTTCGTATCATGGTACATGTTCACACAAGGTTTTGTGATCATACCGTAAACCGTTCGGAAGAAATTTTGCATTGTTTTGATTTCGAGCCAACGTCTTTATTTTGAATTCACCTAACTTTGACCTTCCGGTAGACCCGGAAGTAAAGGTCAAGCGACTTCACGTACACAACAGAAAATGTTAATAGATTCATGGTCTATCTGATTACAGAATACAAACACTATTTGAGTGGAATTGTTCTCATAAATCTTCTTTCTTTCCATCTTTTTATTCCGGGCAATACTTCTCCGCGGGTTTTCTCCTAGACGATTTATGATATGAACTTGTAACTTTCAACATAATTATATCGACCCTCATCCCAAGTGGTGCATATTACTCTGACGTTACAATGACGTCATCGGGTGTCAAATTACAAGCGATTTTAGAGGAAAAAGTGGCCAATTACTTTCACCTATAACTCTTAAACAAAATAATCAATTATGTTCCAACTTTGTAATCAGATAGACCAGTAGTTGATAAACATTTTTTGTCGTGAACTCGCTTGACCTTTACTTCCGGGTCTACCGGAAGTTCAAAGTTACGTGAATTCAAAATAA